TGAGGATGACGATGACAATAACGATGACGGTGAAGATGACAAAGTGGAGGATGAGGAGGCGGAGGAAGATAAATGTGATGTTGATGTTGATTGTGATGATGCCGATGTTGTTGATGATGATGTTGATGATGGAGATAACGCCGATGATGATGGTGATGTTGATGATGGTGATGTTGATGGTGAAGATGGTGGCGGTGTTGTTGTCATTGGTGATCTTGATGGTGGCGATGGTGTTGGTGAACATGAGAATGGCGATGATGATGGTGATGATGGTGGCGGTGATGGTGGTGATGGTCATGGTGATGGTGATGTTGATCATGTTCGTCATGCTCATTCCCACGACCATGGTCGTGATGATGATTATGACGGTGACGATGGCGGCGTCGTTGCTGATGGTGATGGGGATGTTGATGATGACGATGATGATGATGATGATGATGATGATGATGATGATGATGATGATGATGATTATGATGAAACTCGTGCGGGCCGTTTTATGGCTGTCTTGGCCTCTTATGAAGCACTCTTGAAGGGTCCTTGTGGCCTTTTTTTGCCGTGCTGGGGCCTTCTGACGCCGGCTTGGGGCTCTCTTGGGCCGTCTTGGGGCCGTCTTGGCCGTATGGTGGCTGTCTGGGGGCCGTCGTGGGGCCGTCTTGGCACCGTCGAAGTGCCTACGACCATCTTGGGTCCCTCGGGACGTCTTCTTGGGCCGCCTTGGGGTCGTCTGAGATGTTTTTTGGACCGTCGTGGAGTCATCTTGGCCCGTCTTGAGTTCACGGCAGCCCGAAAGGGCGATAATTTGAGAATCATTCGGCAACCCACGGGAAATAAATGATGTTAGCTTCGTTGACCCCTGTTGGAGGTCCTCTTGTGGTTATGTTGGGCCCTGTTTGGGAGCATTTTGGACCGTCTTGAATCAATAGTCGGCCGCCTTGGGGCCATCTTGGGCAGTCTTCGAGGCATACTTGGCTATCTCGGTGTCCTTGGTTGCCTGCACGTTCCGTCTTGGAAGCTCGGGACGCAGATCCATCGTTTTTGACAAGGGATCGTTGCTTGAGAGGCCGTGGAGCGCTGGGGAGCAGCGGCTGGGAATGCGGGAAGTGCATGATCCTCGAGCGCGTGCGCGGGAAACGAGGGGGCTGGGGGTCCGCGCCTGAAGACGCAGCCTCCTTCTAAGAAGGCGTCCTCTCTCCCCCTACCCCTCCCCTGCGCGCCGCCAACCAGTGGGCGCCAGCAAAACCAGCTACGTGAGCCGATTCTCTACCCTGCCCTTTGCTTTCCCATCCTCGTCCCCCCCGACTGTCGCGGGGAGGGCGGCCCCTCCTCCCCCCGGGGTTCCTCCCCTGAACAATGGCACGAGCAGAAGACCAGAGGCGACGATAGGGGCGAAAATAGCCCGGGGGAGGAGGGGCAGTCAATGTATCCAGGGGCGCCGATGGTCCATGTCTTCGGCGAGGCTCCCCTGCGGGAGCCGTGCAATGCCCGCCCCTATAGGCTATTCGCCCTCGTCGTCGCCCCCGACCATTCGGAGGTCCGCGCCGGTTACTTCGGATCGGCGCCGGGTCGCCCCCTGCCCGGCGCGGCCTGGGGGCCGGGAGGGGGCCCCACGGCATCGGCCTGGGGCGCGTGGCAGCGCTCGCGGTCGCCACCTCCACAGGCCCCCAGGATGCCCCCAGAAGGGCTCCAAGAGGGCCGCTGGGAGGCCAACCTCGTGGAGGTCCTGCGCGGAGGTCCTGCGCGGAGAGGGAGGAAAGGAAGGAGGTGGACGAGAAGGAGGAGGAGGAGGAGGAGGAGGACGACGAAAGGGAAAAGGAGGAGGAGGAGGAGGAGGAGGACTGGAGCGTTCGCGCCTCTGCAGGGCTCCGACGCGCCAGGGCGGCCCCAGGAGGCAAGGGCCAGCTTCGGCTTCGGCCTCGCTGCGGCCTGCGGCCCGCCGAAGCGGGCCGACGCCGCAGCGGACCGATGGAGCCGAAGCGGGCCGAAGCCGAAAGCGGCTCCCTCCTCGGGATCCCGAGGTCGCCCCCATAGAGGGCCCCCAAGACGGCCTCGCACTTTTTTGGTTTGCGGGTCGAGAGCGAGCCTCTTCCGGTTAAGAGCTAGGCGGGCCGCGCAAAGCACACGTGCCTCGCACGGGAGGCGCCAGGCTCCCGCGGGAGGGACTCCCTTGGGCTGCCTCGAGGGCTCCAGCGCCTCGCGCGGGCCAGGCCGGTCCGCGCCAGGAAGGCCATCCAGGAGCAGAGGAAACGAGGAGGAGGGGGGAGGAAGAGGAGTGAGTGAGGGAGAGAGGGAGGCTCGGGAGAGGAAGAGGAGGAGGAGGAGGAGAAGGAGGACAAGCTAGGTGTGCAAGCGTCATATCTGACGTCCTACCCCTCCCTCCCATCCCTTGCCGTTGCGTATATCCCCTCACAGGACAATGATCCTGAGAGAGTACGCGAGGCATGGTATAGTACGGCATAGCATGGACTCGCGTCGAGAACGCGATTCCTTTCAACAACAAGTTCAGAGGGAAACCAGGAACGACACAGGGCGTGAAATACAAATGGACGGTTTGACGCGCGAAGCGCAAAATGAGATACGCGCTGCAGCGAGAGCACGATTTCGAAGGACCAAAACCGCAGAAATGAGACCAGAGCTGCAATGGGAGCACGATTTGGAAGGACTGGAAGCGCGGAAACGAAGCCAACGCTGCAGCAGGAGCACGATTTGGAAGAACAGAAACTATGAAATGAGGTCAGCGCTAAAGCGGGAGAATGATTCGGAGGGCCGATAACGGAGAAATGGAGCCAACGTTGTAACGGGAGCTCCATTTTAGAGAGTTGTAGACGTTCGGACCTGGAAAAAACGTATTATTTATCAAATCGGTGGCAAATTGTGAGCAAAAAACAATTCGCGGAGGAGGCCAGGACACCTCATCGGCGTCGTCGGGGGAGAGAGGAGAGTAGTATTCAGATTGTGTAATTGTGGATGAGGATGATGAGGAGGAGGAATCACAACAGGAGACACCCAGACGGCCCACCATCCGACCCACTACCCGACCCCCACGACGACAAGGCCCCTACAACCACGTCAGCATATCCCCTACAGACAAACACCCCGAGCCTGATGAGCCACCAACACCAGGGCAACCTTCCGACCAGCAAGATGGCCCTACCACCAACAAGAGCCCAACCCACGACCCATCAGCTTCAGGCGAGCAGGTATGTGGAAGCGCATCACCACCACCATTCAGCATAGGACTGGCACTATCGATCGACGCACGCATGCGCTCCCAGCACATATGAGAGTTTCGACTGGGGCATCACGGCAGCCTACAGCGTAGTCCAGGACTTTCGGCAAGCCCTACCTTGCAAATCCATGGAATGTTGACGACAAGGAAGGCAACCACCCAGATCATGATCACTGACAGCGTTAACAGCAACAGCCTACCCGAGTACATGTTCGACACGCGCTACCCCATCCTGGAGACGGACACCAACGCTGGCAACGACGGCAACGAGGAAGAGTTCTACCCAGGTTATGACTATAAGATCCGTGCAGCAGCAGCAGCAGCAGCAGAAGCGACCAACTGGGATACCTGCGTGCGGCGGGGAGAGTTCTTTGCGCCACCCCAGTTGTGGCACGGCGGCTGCGACCGCACCTGCCTTGCCGCACAACCGCACGCCAGCCTTCGCCACTACACGGGGGGTGCTATAGCTTTGACCGTAAGCCGTCAAGCTTAGGGCCCCCCGACCCCCCCGTGCGGTGTGATAATTACTCCGTCCCACAAAAATAAGCCCGGAAATCACTCCAACTTGGACCCACTCACAACGCAATCACTCCGCACTGGTCATTTGAGATTGTCAGTGTCATCTTCGCTTCGTCATTGTCATGCCGATGCCTAAGCGATGCTCCATTGTAGTCGTTCTCGCTTTGACGCAGCGTGGCCCTGGGAATCCTTATCAAACGCTATCGTGCTTGCTTCGCTGGCCGGCCATCCCAGAGAGCTCACGAAGGCTTGCGAAGTCGCATCAGGGCACTTCTGCATCCTAATCGGTCGCCCGCGGCCCGCGGAACAGCTATGCAATCCTCCACCGATGGTCAAGCGTTTTAGTATCTGAGAAGTATGCCGTGCAGCCGCGAGACCCGAGGAGTACGATCTTAGTCGCAATCCTCCTTCGTCGCCGTTCGTCGTCCTACTCCCCCCTCCCAGGGGCGTCGGAAGACTTGATTACTCCGCCTCTGGGGGGGAGCCTTCCTTGCAACGTCGCGTCTTTCCCTTCTTTCACAGCGTAGTTGAATCCCCCCCTCCCCAACGGGCAACGGCCCCTTGGGGGGAAAGGGGGGGGGGGGGCAACACCAGCATCCAGGAGGAGGAGAGGGACGAGGAGGAGGAGGACGACGAGGATGAGGAGCACGAGGAGGAGGAGGAGGAGGAGGAGGAGGATGGGGATGATGATGATGCTGATGATGATGATGATGATGATGATGATGATGATGATGATGATGACGATGGTGATGGTGATGGTGATGGTGATGATGATGATGATGATGATGATGATGATGATGATGATGATGATGATGATGATGATGAGGAGGAGGAGAGAGGAGGAGGAGGAGATGAGGATGAGGATGAGGATGAGGACGAGGAGGAGGAGGAGGAGGAAGGAGGAGGAGAAAGGAGGAGGAGGAAGGAAGAGGAGGAGGAGGACGAGGAGGACGAGGAGAGGTCGAGGAGGAGGAGGAGAGGAGGAGGAGGACGGGGAGGAGGAGGGGGAGGAGGAGGGGGAGGAGGAGGAAGAGGAGGAGGAGGAGTAAGGAGGAGGAGGAGCGGGAGGGGGAGGGGAGAGGGGGCAGAAGGAGGATGGCCCTGGATGCCCCTGGAGGCCCCTGGAGGCCGCCAGAGGCGCCTTCACCATTCGAGCCTCGAGCCTCGGACTCTCTCGCCGAGGGCCCGAGCGCGACCTCCTCCGCGCCCGACGCACGGCCAGCGTGCGCATCGCGGCCCCGCGGATTCCACCCAGTCCTCCGCCGCCGCGCGGGGGCCGGTGGCGGCGGCGTCCGCGAAGGCCCCGCGGCGGCGTCTCGAGAAAGGAGAAGGAAGGAGGAGGAGAAGGAGGAGGGGAAGAAGAAGGACAAGGAGAAGACGAAGAGGACGAATCATAGGAGTGCTAAGAAAGAATGCGAAGAAAACGAATACGTATGAGAACGCTGAAAACAATGGATTATCGTTATGATGAATCAGAAGAAGAATCAGAGTGAAAAAAAGAGTTGATGCTGATAATGATGTTGATGATGATGATGATGATGATGATGATGATGATGATGATGGTGACGATGCTGATGATGCTGATGCTGATGCTGATGCTGCCGCTGATGATGATGATGATGATGATGATGATGATGATGATGATGCTGATGCTGATGCTGATGCTGATGCTGATGCTGATGATGATGATGATGATGATGATGATGATGATGGTGATGATGGTGATGATGCTGATGCTGATGATGATGATGATGATGAGGAGGAGGAGGAGGAGGAGGAGGAGGAGGATGCTGTCGCTGATGATGATGGTGATGATAAGGAATATGAAAATAGTACTACGATTGATTGATTGCAGAAGCAAGTTTATATACATATATATATATGTGTGTATATATATTGTATATTCAAATAAATTCGAATTAGGCCTTGTGGGTTTGCGGGGGCCCCCGGCTCCCCGAGCCTCCCGGGGGTTCCAAAACGGCACCGGAAGGCCCCCGCAGGGGTCCGAAACGGCGTCGGAGTTCCCCAGGAAAACCCAAGACGGCTTACGGAGGCCCCGAGACGACCCAAGACGGCTTTCAGGCGGCCCAAGATGTTCTCCAGACGGCCCCATACGCCCCAAAGACGCCCCCGGACGGCTCCGGGGGGGTCCGAGGGCTCCCCCAGGAGGGCTCCATCAAGCAAAAATGGCCACATTCCCTTCGTAAAATGCACATTTTCAACAGATTCGACATTTTCCTTAACGAAGCGTCCAAGACAGCCCCAGAGGCCTCCAAGATTGCCCAAGACGGCCCCCAAGAGGGGCGCCGGAGGCGCCGCCACGGGGGGGCGCCAGCGCAGATCCAAGAAGTCCGCGCGGGGCGCCAGCAGTTTACGCCTCTGGCATTTTCTCTCCTCTGGGGGGAGGGGGCCGGCGCCCGCCGTTCGGGCGGGCCGCCGCCCGCGAGCTGCCCCCCCCTCTCGTCGCCGCCCGCGCGCGCCAAAGGCGAGCGGGCAGCCGCCCGTGCCCGGCGCCACGCGGCTGCTGGACGGCCTGGGCCAGGACGCGCGCCGAGCCCTGGGAGCCTCGGCATCGCTCGGGCGCGTGCGTGTGTCTCCTCGGCGAGGGCCATGGAGCCGAGGAGGAAGTGGTGCCCATCCTGCTACCTGTCCCTCGTTTTCGCTGTTTTGGGCCTCCTGGGAGGCCCTCGTTTCCACCGTTGGATTCGCTTCGAAATCCTGGTCAGAACGCACTCCGGGGGAGGTCCAGGGAGTAGCGGAGTAGCGGCATCGCTCGGACGTGTGCGTTTGTTTTCATCGGCGAGGACCGTTAGTCGGAGAAGAAAAAACGCCATAAACATAGATTGATGGCGCTCTGCGCGAATTTATCAAACCCTTTCAGGTTACGCCATACACAAATTTATGGGCATCTCTCGGACGTGTGCGTTCTCAGACCCTTTCGCGCTACGGAAAAATCACGACGAGAGGTTTTCCACTGTTTTCCACTATTTTCGGCCTCCTGGGGCCCTTCCCGGGCCCCAGGGACGTCAAAAAAACGACTCAGCATGAAACGCCAGTCCCGGGGAAAGGGTCAAGACCCCTGGGAGCTGACGCTGGGAAAAAATGCGACGTCCGGTGTCTGGGCGTGTTTTCCCAGGCGAGGACCTTTGATCGGAGAAGAAAAATCGCCATAAACAAAAACTTTTGGCGCTCCGCGCGGATTTCTCGGATCCGCGCTGGGGTCCCCCTGGGCGGCGCCTCCGGCGCCGCTCCTGCGCCGCCCCTGGCGCGCTCCGCGCGCCAGGGGGGGACCCTAATTAGCACGGATCCAAGATATCCGCGCGGAGCGCCAACAGTTTATGTCAATGTCGTTTTCTTCTATCTTCCCCCAGCGAAGAGAATACACGCACAAAGCCGAAGCATGCACGGGGGAATGGAGGTCCGAGCGATGGCGAGGGAGGGGGGGGGGCTTGAGACCCTGATCAGTGCTCCCTCTCCTCCTTCCTCCCCCCTCCTGCTCCTTCCTCCTTCCTTCTCCTCCTCCTCCGTCTCCTCCTCCTCCTCCTCCTCCTCCTCCTCCTCCTCGCCTCCTCCTCCTCCTCCGGCTCCCTCTCGTCCTCGTCCTCCTTCCTCATCCTGCTCTTCCTCCTGCTCCTCCTTTTTACCTAACAGCGAAGACTGATAGGTTTCTAGTGGTGTAAAAAGAGAGCAGCAGATGACTCCACAGGGGGGTCTGGGCAGCCGTTGGGGAGGTGTTGGGGGCCGTTGGGGGGCCGTTGGGGTTTGCCGGGGGGGATCGTTTTTCGCATACAGTCACACACACTTCGTGCTTTTCGATTTCCCAGAACTCCATTCCCGGGCCACATTCTGAATGCCCGGAGCCAACTGTACGCCACTTCGTGCTCTTTGACTTCCCAGAACTCCATTCCCGGGCCACATTTTGGATGCCCGGAGCCAACTGTAGGCCACTTCGTGCTCTTCGAGTTCCCAGAACTCCATTCCCGGGCCACATTTTGAATGCCCGGAGCCAACTGTAGGCCACTTCGTGTCTTCGAGTTCCCAGAACTCCATTCCCGGGCCACATTTTGAATGCCCGGAGCCAACTGTAGGCCACTTCGTGCTCTTCGAGTTCCCAGAACTCCATTCCTGGGCATGATTTTGAATGCCCGGAGCCAACTGTAGGCCACTTCGTGTCTTCGAGTTCCCAGAACTCCATTCCCGGGCCACATTTTGAATGCCCGGAGCCAACTGTAGGCCAGTGTTCTTCGAGGGGCTGAATGCTGAGGCTGAGGCTGAGGCTGAGGCTGAGGCTGAGGCAGGCTGAGGCTGAGGCCGAGGCTGAAGGCAGACTGAGGCTGAGGCTGAAGCAGGCTGAGGCTGAGGCTGAGGCAGGCTGAGGCTGAGGCTGAGGCTGAGGCTGAGGCTGAGGCTGAGGCTGAGGCAGGCTGAGGCTGAGGAGGCCAAGGCTGAAGGCAGACTGAGGCTTTGGCTGAAGCAGGCTGAGGCTGAGGCTGAGGCTGAGGCTGAGGCTGAGGCTGAGCTGAGGCTGAGGCTGAGGCTGAGGCTGCAGGCTGAGGCTGAGGCTGAGGAGGCTGAGGCAGGCTGAGGCTGAGGCTGAGGCTGAGACTGAGGCTGAGGCTGAAGCAGGCAGGCTGAGGCTGAGGCTGAGGCTGAGGCAGGCTGAGCTGAGGCTGAGGCTGAGGCTGAGGCTGATGCAGGCTGAGGCTGAGGCAGGCTGAGGCTGAGGCCGAGGCTGAAGGAGGCTGAGGCTGAGGCTGAGGCTGAGGCTGAGGCTGAGGCTGAGGCAGGCTGAGGCTGAGGCTGAGGCTGAGGCTGAGGCTGAGGCTGAGGCTGAGGCTGAGGCTGAGCAGCTGAGGCTGAGGCTGAGGCAGGCTGAGGCTGAGGCTGAGGCTGAGGCTGAGGCTGAGGCTGAGGCTGAGGCTGAGGCTGAGGCTGAGGCTGAGGCAGGCTGAGGCTGAGGAGGCTGAAGGCAGACTGAGGCTGAGGCTGAAGCAGGCTGAGGCTGAGGCTGAGGCTGAGGCTGAGGCTGAGGCTGAGGCTGAGGCAGGCTGAGGCTGAGGCTGAGGCAGGCTGAGGCTGAGGCTGAGGCTGAGGCTGAGGCTGAGGCTGAGGCTGAGGCTGAGGCTGAGGCTGAGGCTGATGCTGAGGCTGAGGCTGAGGCTGAGGCTGAGGCTGAGAGGCCTGAGGCTGAAGGCAGACTGAGGCTGAGGCTGAAGCAGGCTGAGGCTGAGGCTGAGGCAGGCTGAGGCTGAGGCTGAGGCAGGCTGAGGCTGAGGCAGGCTGAGGCTGAGGCTGAGGCTGAGGCTGCAGGCTGAGGCTGAGGCAGGCTGAGGCTGAGGCTGAGGCCTGAGGCTGAAGGCAGGCTGAGGCTGAGGCAGAGGCAGGCTGAGGCTGAGGCTGAGGGCTGAGGCTGAGGCTGAGGCTGAGGCAGGCTGAGGAGGCCGAGGCTGAAGGCAGACTGAGGCTGAGGCTGAAGCAGGCTGAGGCTGAGGCTGAGGCAGGCTGAGGCTGAGGCAGGCTGAGGCTGAGGCTGAGGCAGGCTGAGGCTGAGGCTGTGACTGCGACTGCCGTTGCCACTGCGACTGTCATCGCGAATGCGACTACGACTGCGAGAACAGCAGAATTCTACAACTGGATTCTCATCCGAATCTTAAGGGGAATGCTTCCAGATATGCTCCTACACATCGATGTTAGGTTGCTTTGCCGGGATCATTGACTCTGCGCTAACTCAAGCAAGCAATGCGCTGCAGCGTTCGATGGAACACGTATGCAGAGCGAGGCTTGTGCAGAATGGGACGAGCAAGCAGAGAAATAAATGTCATCGCCCAGGCAAGGTAATTCTTCACGCTTCGCGCATCCCCACCAGCCCATTCCAGAACAATCTCTTGTGCGAAGCATGCCGGCAGTCGTGGCTTTCGGGCGCACCTCCTCCTGCCCACGCATATATCCTTCTACTTCTCTGGGTCTTTCGCTCTGGGAGGCTCTTGGAGGCATCTTGGGGGTATCCCGGGACCTTCTTGGGGATATTTTGGAGGTCTCTGGGCCCTTTTGGGGTTCCCGTGGTGCCTCTCGGGGCTCCCTTGGGGCTCCCTTGGGGCTCTCTTGGGGCGCTGTTGGGGCCCTCTTGGGGCTCTTTGGGGGGGTCTGGGAGGTCTCTTGGGGCCATCTTGGAGGCGATCGAAAGAGGGACGAGCACTGTTCTCTGTCCCCCCGTCGGGTCCCGAAACCCTATGAAATTACAGCATGCGGCGCCTTTTCGGCTGCCCATCTTGGACGCCCTGACGACCCGCGGAACGGCCTCTCCAGGTCCAGGGGGAAGGGGTAGGGCGAGGGGTCAAGTTACCCCCTCCCCGCCCGCAAGCCGTCTCGCTCACTCCCACCCGCCCTCCCAACTCATACGTAGCACCCGAGTCTGGCCCGAGCCTCAGCATATTCAGCAGTCGTCTTGGGATGGGCAGCTACTGGGGGCCAATCCGCCGCCGCCGCCGCCGCCGCCGCCCCGCTGCCAAACCGCCGCCGCCGCCGCAGCCGCTGCCGCCACCGCTACCGCCGCCGCCGCCGCCTCAGCCGCCGCCGCCGCCGCCGCCGCCGCCGCCGCCGCCGCCGGCCGCCGCCGCCGCCGCCGCCGCCCGCTGCCAAACCGCCGCCGCCGCCGCAGCCGCTGCCGCCACCGCCGCCGCCGCCGCCGCCCCCGCCCCCGCCCCCGCCGCCGCCGCAGCCGCCGCAGCCGCCGCTGCAGCCGCCGCCGCCGCCGCCAAGTGTACTCTGCATTTTTTTGACAGGGATGTTGGGGGGGGCCGCATCGGGTTGGCTGCGCATGTTCCGAATTTGGAGGCAGAGTGTGTTTTGTATTGTTTGCTACAAGGGATGGCGGGGGGGGGGGTCGGCATGGACCCTGGTTGGCCCCCAGTCGCCTGGGGGAGGGGGTGTTTATTCATAGGGAACAGTGATAAACCCCTCCCCGAAGGGGAAGAAAAGGGGTTGAGGACAGAGAGGGCTCCCTAAACCACTCACGCCCAGAGGGCTGGAGGGATTATAGAGTAACGCCGCCGTCTGCCGCTGAGGAGGGGCAGCACAAGAACATACGATACATGCCCAATCGGATACTCAGAGGGGAAATGCCGAACAGAGAGGACGAAATCCGCGCCCAACTAAAGCAAATGCACCACAGTGAAGGGCTTGCCTGTACGCTGTTGAGCAGGTGCTGCCTGGTGGACTGCCAGTCCATTAGGTGTAGGTCGGGCGTGTCCCTCTACAAGAGGAATGTTCAAAACTAGTCAAACACGGTTTTTGAGTATGTTTGACCATGTTTGAACACTGTTTGAGTATGGTCTTATAATTTTCGCCCAAAAACGCCTGTTGGGGGGCATGCCCGACCTAACACTAGGTATGCTAGGCAGCCAGGGCAGTGGTGAGGCAGACGCAGTCAGGCGTCCCACCAGCCGGCATCGTAGCCCCACGTGCCTCTCCATCCCACCATAGTTAATCAAGGCCTGCAGTAACAAGGGTGTGATGTGTGACAAGGTAAAATGACAGAGCAAGCGACGACATCATAGAGTGTGGCATGGCATGATGTAGGCTGGCGCTGTGCTTTGGCCTGCCTAGCGTGATGAAGCGAGGGCATGCTGTCTTTGGTGTGAGAGCGAGCGTCTTTGGTCTGACGCCCCTCCGCTGAGAGCCAAAATGGCTGCAGTTGTCAGTGCTGCTCCCCGTCCCCACCCAAAAGACCCAACCCCCGTCCCAGAGGACAGTAAGTTTGGCGAAAAGGCTCCTCCTCCTCCTCCTCCTCCTCCTCCTCCATCTCGCCCGTATCCATTTTGGCTCAAAGTCATTTCGGCTAAGGTTTCGGCCATCGAGCCGCAGGGCGATGGTGCTATGATGCGTTCGTCGAGCAGACCACGGCTTCCTGCTCGAGACGGCAGGACACGACCACACGAGCACGGGGCAGTTACCAGCATCTCCTGCTGGCCGTTGGCGGCATCTGCGTGTACTGCCTTGGCGTTTTCCATGGCTCTTCCAGAGGCGTGGCTTCCCTTTCTGCAGAGCAGTATGGAGAGATAGCCTCTCAGGCCATGTTCCCGATGCAATCATTCGTTCCCGACCCGCTGGCGTCAGGCTGCAATTGGGACATCGTCTACCACATGTGGTCGAACGTTAGTGCGACTGCGGGCTCCTGTGAGGAGGCAAATCCTTTCGTCGATTGCTGTGGTGATGGGCAGTGTGCAGGTTTTCTGAGACACTCGAGCCACTGGGGGCAGTGCTACAAGTTTGCCGAGATGCCTGATCAGCTGGTGGCGCATGAGTGGACTCCTGAACCGTTGGAGCTCTTTGATTCCGCAGCAGTGGCATCGCAGTGGAGCTTCTACCTGAAGCGTCCCGTCAAGGAGCCTGGCTCTGCGTCCTGGCCGTCGTCGGGAACGCCTCCCCCCCTCCTCCGCGCCACCCCCGCACCCTCCTCGCCACCCCCCTCCGCTGAAGCTCGCCGCCCGGAGCCACCGCTCCCCACGCGGCCTCTGGAGCAGACCGGCACTGCCGAAGAGGTCCACGTCGTGTCCACCGTGGACTGCCGCCCGTTCAACCTGTGGCAGAGCGAGCTGCTGTTTTTCTCCGCCCTGTCGGCCGGGCAGCCCGGACCTCTGACCGCGATAGTCTCCGGGTGTGACGAGTCCATGAGGGACCACCTGCAGGAGCGCCACAGAGCCCTCGCCTGGCCCCCACGGTTCACGCAGTACTTCGTGGAGGCCTTCAATGACGCGACGTCGATATGGCTGAGCAAGCCGCACGGGTTCTACCAGTGGTGCAGCAAGGCAGGGCCGTCCAGGGACGTCGTGGCCCTGGTGGCCCAGATTTTGTTTTCCTGCGCCCTCTCACCGCGAAGCTGGACACGGCCGCGGCGCCCCGCGACTGGGCGGGGCCCGTGCCGACTCGAGTGCAGAATGGCTTTGTTGTGGGCCAGCGGTACGAAAATTTGAGGCCACAGTTGGATAGTACCCTGTGTCACTTTAATTTCGAGGGGCACAATATGAGCGAGGACGAGTTCCTGAGTTGGGTTTGTAGCGGTGACAAGGACGGGGAGACAGGCTGCAGAGGCCTGACACTCTACGAGTTTGGCACTTTTCATGGCTCTGGGGTGCCCTACATAGCGCACCGGGATGACTGGGACTTGCTTGCGCCAGATTGGAACAGCATCAACGCACGGTTGCACAAGTATGCGCCCAAGGGTTATTACATTGATATGTGGAGTTGGAATTTGGTCACTGCTCACAGAGGTCGTCGGCAGTTCATGCAGGAAAATATGATGCTATCGTCCGCTGTGGCTTATTTCGAAGACTGGCAGGCCGTTGAAGCCCTGCGCGTGGACGCGTGCTACACGGACGTCGAGGAGATCCTGTCGTTCCTCATGCCAGGTCGCTCGCCGCAGCAGGCGCTACCTGGTCATCAAGTCCCCAATTTTCTCCACTATTGTCTCCCCATCTACGTGCCTTACCCGAGCTTCAAAGACCAGGACGGCGGACGTCTGCGGAGCAAGTACTGGTTCGACTGGGGCGTGGAGAGAGGCAGGCCGCATGCGCTGGAGCGGTGCAATGACACTGCGAACGCACCCATGGTTGGTCCATGCCCAGCGCTGAAATGGTTCAAGACGTCACCTCCAAGGCGGGCGCAGCCAAACCAGTCGATGCCGATCACCGAGCTGCGGAACCGGTTCCTGGGGTGCGTTGCAAAGGGTATATTTAGGAAAGCGGTCCAGGCTTTGTGCCCTGGGCAACCAATGGCTAGAGACGTCATGGAGTCGACGGACCCCCTGGACGAGTGAGCTGCGCTTCCTCGAGGGAGGAGGGGTGGAGGAGAGGTGGGGGAGCAGAGCGGCCTTGCCTCCCGAGAGGGCGGCGGCTTCCCAGAAGGGGCCGGCCCCTCTCCACACGGTGCCCCGTGCACTATCCAGTAGACGTGGAGCCCTCTGCTCGTTTCATTGTTGGCGTCCGAATGTTCAGAAAGGGAATTGGTCGGCGCCTCAGCGTGCGCGCCATTCGCGCCGAGGCGCGCCAGGCTGCAATGCTGGCTTGCAGGTGACGCCCACCTGCGGTCAGCCCAGTGAATTCGATGATTTGTATTTTCAAGGGCTGGTCGCTCCACCTTGCGCGCGCATCCTTAGGCAATTGACCAGATAAGTGCGCGCGAGGCGGTTGTGTCTCTGGCGCGAGACCCCACCAGTGCAGCTCTTCTCTGTTCACCGCGGAGGCTATATTTTCTTTCATTCCGCCTTGCGTGCGCACCCGTGGGCAATCGACCAGATAAGTGCGCACCAGGCTGATGCGTCTCCTCCTCCATCTCGCTCTCTTGGAGGCCTCTCTGGCTGTTTTGGGGTGGTCTTGGGGGCCTCTTTGGCCGTCTTGGAACGTCGGAAGACCGAAAAGGCGAGAACGCCAGACTTATTCCTCTTGGGTCGTCTTGAGGCCATCTTTGGCGTCTTGGAACGATCTTTCGACGACTCGGGATCCTCTTGGACCGTCTTAAAGGCCTCGTGGGGCCCTCTTGGCCCGTCTGGGGGCCCTCTTGGCCCCCAGGAGGCACGCGGGGAGCCCCGAGAGATTCGGCGCGTTCGGCTCCGGGCCCTTCAAAACTCTTTAGGGCCGAGGATTTGAAGCTCAAAGGTTCGGCAGAGCACATTGCCTGTAGCGCTGTAGACGTGGCGCGTGCACGCAGCACCCTTTTTCGTCGCCTTGTAGAGCAAGTACGATTGGCATGTACAGTATGCTGTGGCGCCAAAACCAGCGGCTTCTGGCCGGCCGCTCTCGCCGTCATTATTTGGCCATCCAGTCGCAGAGTACGTCGAACAGGCTTTCCTTATGGAGCACGTCGAGAAATAATCCGACCACACCTGGCTGGCCTTCGGAGGCTGCGGGGTCGTATAAGCGCCCGAACACGTAGTAATATTTAATCGGGCGGTGGTTTTGGCAGGCTCGTGCCGTCTCTTGGGGCTCGACGTTGGTACTCTTTTCGCTGCGGGCGTCGAATCTTTCGTTTTCGCGCATAGAATCCGTCAGGGGTGTCGCGCCTGAGAGCCCTGACGGTCGCCCCCTGCGTACATGCCAGCGTGCACCAGTATGCATGCCAGTGGATGCCCCCGCGGGCCCCCCAGTATTGTGTTTGAGGTTTTTCCTTGGCCTTCAGACCATATGTTTCTGCTTGGAACGCTCAGGTGAGCTGGTGATTCTGGGTTCGTTTACTAACGTTCGTTTTGTTCCAGTGCATCAAGGAAAAAACGACTTGGCCATTCATGCACATGTGAAACAGAGCTTTCACGATCACAAATTTCGCTCACAGGTCGGAGCTCTCATTGGGATGTTGCGAGGCGCCTCTGGGGGGGGGGGGGGGGGGCATGGTTTCTCTTGCGCTGAGTCTGTAAATTCTGGACCTCCTCAGCTACACGCGGCCATTTTGGCTCAATGTTGAGCTCGTCGGGTCGTCTCGAAGCGGCGCTGCCCCGCCGCTGTCGCCTCGACAGCCAGACCGCGGGGGGGGGCCTCTCGTGATCCCCGCGGCGGAGGCCAAGCCGCTCTCGCGGGAGATCACAGGCGGCGAAATCTCCTCCGCTGCTCGCCCGGTGGAGCGCCCAGTGGCTGGGGGAGGGGGAGGAGGGGGGGGGGGGAAGGGGGGGGGGAAAGGTAGCGAAGAGGAGGGGGAACAGAGGAGGGAGACACAAAGAGGAGGAGGAGGGAGGATAATGACGAGCAGCGAATAGAAGGACGAGGATGGTCCCCTAGCCATCCATCTGCTCCGCGCGCCAGCTCTGAAACTCTCCCCCTACCTCGAATTCTCATGCTTCTGCTCATCATCATCCGTCCTCCTTCTGCTTTCGCCCGTGGACGTTCGCGCGCCCGCTCTTGCGCAGAGCGATGCTGGGAGGACAAAGGCGGGCGGGGGCGGACATTACGGAGCAGGGGCGGGGGGGGAAGGAGGAGGCAGAAAGGGGCAGGTGGGGCCAGATGGCAAGAGGGAGAGGGCGATTCGGAGGAATGGTCGGGGATGAGGAAATGAAGAGGATCACGAGGGCGGCATGTGAACCGCTCCCCTCCCTCCTCATCCTCATCCTCCATACCTCGCCCCTCCTACTCCTGTCCTGCCCGCTATGCTCCTCGTCATCCCCCTCGACTTCCCCCCCGTGGCTCCTCGTCCTTCTCCAAGAATTTGCTTCGTTATCGGCGCGGTCCCCCCCCCTCGTCTTTTCACGGCCCTTCTCGTCCACTCCGAACCGCTGCTCGGGGCGGGCGCCCCCCCCCCAGCCGAGGCCGTTTTGGTGCGCGAGCCTGCCCGTGCGCATCCTGCTCGCGACGATGGCGCCTACGCCATCGAGTCGCTGAGGCCGTGCCTGGCGCGCTGCAACGTCGCGCCGGCGGAGCAGGAGCTTCGCGCGGCGCGCGAGCGCGCGCGGTCTCGCTTGATACGCGGGCTTCCGCCCAGCGCGCTGCGCGCGCCACTGCGTCTCTCAGACGGTGGGCTGCGGTCGTTGGGCGCGGCGCAGTTTCTCGGCCAGCTGGTCGCGCGGGAATCGTCGTCGCCCGACGGCAGTGCGCAGGTGGCTCTAGGAAGAGTAAGTTTGCATGGCGCACTCCTCGCCTCGTTCACTCGCCCCCCGGGCCCCCCCGCCCGCGCCCATTGGCCCCCCTTGGCCCCCGCTGGGCCCCTGCCCAGCCAGAACAGGTGGAGGTGGAGATGCGTGGATAGTCGAACGACCTGTGCTCTCATTGGGGGCCCCCCGCCCCCCCCGTGGCCCGCGCGCCCTGCAGCTCTGTTGTCTTGGTCATTCGTTTAGCGCCCCGTGTTTGGCTCGAGGCGGCGGTGGCGCATGAGCAGCCCGATTGCCGCGGCCTCCCTGTGCAACATGCGGCGCGCCAGGAAGCGCCTGCCCCGCACTGGCGCCCGCCGAGCAAGCGGGCGCAACCCGCGTGCTCCAAATCCTTTCGGGGTGCGCTCAGTGTGCGTCGAGTTGAGTCGAGTGAGTTCGCGCTGCCCTGGGCGCCCCCCCCCCCCCCCTCCCCCCCCGCTGCCCCCCGGGGGGGGGGGGGGATTAGCAGGGGGCGGGGATATGGATGAGGAGGGGGACGCAGGATGGAGTAGAGAAGATCATGCAGAACGAGATTCCAAGATTTGCTTATGTTTATCAATTGTCTTGGGGTCTTGGGGCGTCGACTCTGGCGGCTCTCGGGGAGCCTTCTCTTCCCCTCAGTCTCCCGGGGAGCCGCGTCGCCCCCTCATTCTCTCGCTCCCCCTCTCCTTCCAAGTGAGGCGAGGAGGCTGTCTGACTGCGTTGGCCCCCTAGTCCCTCTGGGCCCTCCAGCCTCATTGGCGCGACTTGAACCAACAACCTTGGCCCCATCCCGCTGCTGATCCGATGCCCGCCCCAGAGGTACTCGCAGATGGACATCGGCACGGCCATCGAAACGCTGCAGCATAGGGGCGAGATGGTGAAAATACTGCGCACGGAGCTGAGGAAGCACAAGGCTCTGGCAATGGATTCACTGGATTCGAATGTGGCCATAGAGGACACGCCTGCTATGGACTGGCAGATCGCTTGCAAGTCGAAGAAGGAGCCCGTTGGCAGGAAATCGAACCATATCACACAGCGGTCAATAATGGCGGTTGCGGTCAGGCAGGCCATCAGCGGCTGCCCCGCGAGAAGCCTGGGCGCGGCGGTTCTGGAAGACCTGAGTCGGCAGACGGTGTGCGAGCGCGAGGTCCAGCGCGCAGCCGCTCTGTTCGCCACATTTCAAGAGGACCTGATGTTTCGATGAGTTTCTGACTTCCTGGATGAGGGCGGGGATCCCAGGGCCCCAGGTGGCCTGACTGGGTCGTTCCTTTCTACTTCTTGGGACTCTATGCTTTGCTATCATGCAATTGCATTATCATTGCGTTGTCGCATGAATCCCCTGCGAATGCGTGGGAAGCGGGGCCCGGGCAGAGCGCGAGTACGAGGGGGTCCCTGTCTCTGCCTGCGCGCCTGAGCGCGGCAATTGAGTCAATTGAGTAATGAAACGTATCCTTCAGTTCCACGCGAGATGGGAGCTCGACCGTGGAGCTATCAGCTGTTTTCTTTCGGTGCAGACGCGACCAACCCTGGCATGTGGCGAGGGGCCAAACTGCAGGCGCTGGAACTCGAAAGCACGCACTTAGAGAACCACGCGGCGTTGACGCAGACACGTTTCTCTGAGGTCAGCAGCCCCCGCGAGGTTTTCAGCGATTTGCAGGAAGTGGAGGACGGCACGTCCGAAGCCACAATGGCCCTGATCATCAAACAGCTGAGGTCAGCGGGGTGCCCATTGCATTGGATCGAAACGAAGCAGTCTTCGTCGACGCGTTCGTTTAGTGCGCACGCGTTCACAGCAGACAGCGGGCCCAACCAGGAGAGAGTCAAACACATGTTCTTGAAGGAGGCTGCTGGTGACCCGAAGATGCTTCACATAGCGGGCAATGGTTATTTACACGTTTTTCAACTAATTATAAAGCGGGCGCCCCTTTGGGATAGATGCTTTACTGGAACGGCATGATATGCAGTTCACTTCCTTTTCTTCCTCCTTGGCAAAGGTGACCAACGTGTGGCGAGATGCAGGTGGATCTATCTTCGACATCTCTTTGGACAAGTTCGGATCGTTGGCTGCCCTCCAGCATGCCTCAAGATTGCCAGAACAGCGCGTGGCTGGGCGATGGGGCAGCGCCCACAAGACCACATGTACTCCCCATAGGTGCCCCAAGGAACTGCACGCAGTCATGGCAGCAGCCCTGGGGAAGAAAGAATCAAAACAGCAAAAACAAACC